GTGTGTGTGTGTGTGTACCTTGGCAGAAGGGATTATTGGGGTTGAAGTTGAGAGCGAACTCGTGGTGTGCAACCTGTGAGATCAACAAACAACAGTTCAATAAACCTGACAATCTAAGTTTTACTCTGATTGGCTGCTTAGAGAAGCTTAGAGAAGCATCATTTAATTCAACTGAATCACAAAATTATAATTTTACAACACAGACTCTGAGCGGGGCGAAATATGATGTCACACTTGTTCTACATAGAGTGCTGTGTTGTGATTGGTTGGTTAGAGAGCTGACCTGGTAGTCTGGAGGCAGTTTGGCTCCAAACCCAAACGCTGGGAAGAGTTTATCACTGAAACAGGAAAACAAAAAACAACCATAGTTACGGTCACATAAATAATTCTCCTGCTCTCTAATAGGATTCAGAGTTTATTCATCAGGCTGTGAGATTTAGGGATTAGCGTGTAGGGTTTAGGATGAACGCTGTAGGAATTAGGTTGCGGAATTTCGGGTGTATGATTTGAGATGTAGGAACTTGGGGGTAGAGTGTTTGAGTAGGGTTTATGATTCAAATTGTAGGGTTAAAGTTTTATGGTGATGAATAAAGGGTTTAGCTTGTAGGGTGTAGGGCTAAGATGGAGGGGAAGGGTTGAGGTAGAAGGGTTTAGGATTAGGGTTTAAGGTGTATGATGTGTAGTGTTTACGGTGTAGAAACTAGGGTTAATGTTATATCATTCAGTGTGTAGGGATCACAGTGTAAGTTTAGGGTTTAGATATAGGTTACATGGTTCAGAGTTGGGCCTGGGACTTGGTTTGGTGTGTATTTCGACAGTGTACGAGTGCGCGAGTGTGTACTAACGTGTCGTAGTCCTGGACCACCTGACCCACAGACCACAGAGCAGACAGGTACTGGTTCAGCCCGTCTGGACTCATGTAGTGGAGAGAGTTGGGCGAGCGAGGGTCACCATTAGAGCCGGTGAAGTCGATCCCCACCTACAGTGTTCACACAACATTCATTCAGTCATGAATCCACACCTACAAACATTCATTCATTCATTGTTGAAATACATTGTTTACACGTTAATCAGCCTGTTCATTCATTGTTTTTAACACATCAGTTAAGAGATGATGATTAATAACTGAAGGCCTACAGACTGGTGACTTAATATAAAGTATTTCAAATGTGTTCATTGTTGTTGACATACAGTGAAGTTGATCTGGCAGCCGCCCATCACATAGTCCAGGAAGGAGTACTGAGCCATCAGCTGCAAACACACAGAGACACAGTGTTAGAATCACTTACTTATATATGTGTATATTAAAAAAACGTTGAAGTCAAGCGCCCGGTTAGCTCGGTCTGTAGAGCTGGCAACCCATATATTCAGCAGTCCGGGTTCAAGTTCGACCTGTGTTTTTCTTTAAACTTGTATTATTAATCCCCTGTGACCTGCTAACAAAATTAGCCCCTATATGAGGTTCTTGAGGGTAATGTGGTTCCTACCTGGCAGCTCTTTACGGAGACGACTCCAGAGTTCTTGTAGCTTTTCTTTTTCTTTTGTTTCTCAGGATGGATGCACTCAAACTCCACCTGGGGGGGCAAAACAGCCAGTTTAATGACCTAATGACCTCTGATCAGCCAATAGACAAGACTGATTTAGTATTAGTGAGCTCACCGGTGAACCGTGTCCTCCTTTCTGCAGCTCAGAGACTTTAGTGGTGAAAGAACCAATCAGATCATGAGATCCATCACTGTCATGATCAGAGCAATCCACCTGCAGGAGAAGGAGATTGTATGTGACTGATGAAGATTGTATTGATCATTATGACTGAGGCTGGATTCTGATTGGTGGAACCTTCAGCGGTCTCTCGAGGTCGCTGCCGCAGAACGTCTGTAGAGGAACTGTAAACGTCTTCCAGGTGGGACTCAGATTGTTCTTCACCACCTACACACACACACACACACACACACACACACACACACACAAACCTTCATCATTACCATAATGTTCACCATCATCTTCTTCACAGTGACATCACCCTCTGTGTGTTCTTTAATTAGATTTATTAATTATAGTTTAAGGCCTTGAAAGTGGTTTCAAATCTTAATCATTTCCCTATAACATTAAATATTCACGACTAAATAAGCAACAATAGTTCCTCTAAATCCAAAATCACTTATACTTCCTATTTATTTGTGTGTGTATAAACGTGTGTGTGTACCTCTGTTCTGTGGACCAGCTGCCACTTTCCATCATCTCCTTTTTTGAAAAACTCCAGGAACGGATCAGACTTCCCAAACGTATCCTGAAGAGAGAAAATACAACATTTTATTACATGCATTTACATGTACTTAAGTAACCGGTTTACAGTCTTATTTCTCCTGATTTTTATTTCTGAAATGTAAACAAATAACTTTCTGTAATTGGGGTAGGGCACTTCCCCAGCTGGGGGTGCTTGCTGGCTTTCTATACAGGTAACCAGGTTTCTAATCTGCTTTCTACAAGTATGCATGTGACTTCAGATGGAGAAAATAAAGGTACAGTTACAACATAACTGTGCTTTAACAGCAAACTAAACTAAACTAACACAAGGTAACCTGTACAAGTCTCCCGGTTTCCACCA